ATGTACATAACATGGGTACATATATCTATAAATCAAGATGTCATGGAAATGGCATCTTGGGGCACTCAGTAAAATAGTAGTGTTCTTCTGAATTACTCATTGTCTCACTGGTACTTAGTTATAATAATCCCTCTCTATATTTTAGTCTCAAGTATAATTTCTAATTTTCATAGAAAGCCTTTTTTAAATTCCATATTAGGCCAAAATTAAAATCCAAGAATAAATTGCCACTATATTATCTGGCAGAATCACTCATCCCAACCATAAGACACAGCCAATATTTTACTACATTTCCTCTCATCTAGTATGTTGTACTGATTTGGTTTGTTTTGAGGAATGAGACAGATGATGATTAGTATCACTAATAGGCCTGGCAGTCTAGGAAAAAAAAACAAAAAACACTTGGCTATCTTATGAAGAACAGTTGTTTTTCTAGAACAGATACTGTATACTAGAACTCACCTCAGATGTAAAAGTAAGTTATGTACCTAGGTCTCTTCTACTACCCACCAAGGCTAGGTAAGACCCTTTCAATATCCCTCCATAAATTTGGCTCTAAAATGACTGTTAATAATGGTAAACACATTTTAAAACGGCATTTCTATATACAATTTACTCTACAGAAATAGATAAACATCAAATCTACCTTTAAAAGAAGAAAATAATTTCCCACTCAGCTATGGCTGATTCATTCCTGAGCATGAATACCCTTTAACCCTCATTGTTTTTAATATAAACTGAGCTGAAATCTGCTCATAGGGATCTTGATGGTGAAACTAATCTAGATGGAGAATGGTATTACAATAATTATATCTGTTACTTTTGTACTCATATTTCTACTCCACTGTGGCATTTAAAGTTTCATCTACTGTCTATCACATGTCTCTATGGAAGCACATAGTGAAAAGATAATTACACTTTGTTTAAAAAACAGATAATTAAAATGGATCTTTATCCAAATACAATAAAAAGCAAAGAGTAATGTCTACAAAATTTTCATTCTGTGTCAATGACATTTCAAATCGCTGTCCACTACCACCATGAAAAGCAAAAGTGGTAAAAACAATCTTACAACGGGAGACAAACAATTTACCTCAGGAACTCATTACACATTGCAATATATTCAAATGGTGAAAAGATATAAATCATTCAGAATTGCCCACACTATCGGCTGTCAATATAGTCTCTTGATAATTATATTAACATATTACTACAAATGTACCAAGAGTAGAGAATACTATATTTGTGAACTGCAAGTAACAAACAAAACAAGTCCAATAGTCTAAAGTCTAAGCTGTAATTTACCCATGAAAGGTATGCTGAAAGCAGTCACAATGTAAAAAATGTACAAGTAATCCAGAGTTTAAAAAAAAAAAAACAGATCCTGTTTGTCTCAGATTATAGCGCATCTCTCTGTAGGTTTCTATTAAGCCTGTTACATAAAGTGTATTTCCCTCCTGCTGATAAGAAGCAGCTTGCAGATATCCATAAATTTCTTAAAGAGTGAGTCTACTTGGCAATACTGTTAGCTCCATAGTTTCCTATTACATTCATTCGTCTGAAAACTGAAAGCAACTTCATAACTAAAATGTTTTTCCATTCCTTTATCAATTTTTCAAATTTTAAATCAAAGGAAAGTTGGAATGTATTGCTTCTTGTTCAC